GACTTTTAGCCATGGTTTCACCTTTATTTTTTCATTTTCCCCAAAAAACTTGTGTTTCTCAAGGTTGCTCCTTCTCGTATAAACAGAAATACATTGATGTAATTTGTAGTCTCACAACATTCTCACAGACGATAGGCATTGTTCAGTAGGTTATAGTTTTTATTTCAGACTCGTCAGTCTAGAAATGGATTTGACTTAAAATTCTTCTCACTCATCCTTCCATATACTTACAATACACGATCTATTATCATTACTTATTCAACTGTTCGCTGATTCACTTAACCTATCCTATTGCTATTATTTGCTTCTCTTTTTTCCTTTTCTAATTCTTTCAGAATCTTCCTTCTCCTAGTGTCTCCAAATTGCCTTTCAGTTTATCTACTTCCTCATACTACGGACGATACTCTATATTGTCAAGTTAATCGTCAGATTTTCAGATCAGAATAATAATTCTGTCGCGTGTCTGATAATGATCGATGCGATCGTTAATTTTACAAGCGATTACACAATATCCGATGTTATAAAATTCTTTATCTCTATACAGAGGTAAAGTGGGTGATAAAAGATGCGATACCGTGCTAATATCTAATTTTCAAATAAAGCAAATTTCGTTAATTGTATTTTACCGTTTGTGCCCTTAGCGCCTATAGGCTTTCGAAAGTTTTCTCAGACTGTGACCTTGACGCCTATAGGCGTTTCGAATATATTCTCGCACCGTGCTGTTGCCGCTTTTTGGCACACTTTCGCCTTAATTTAAGCCTTGGTTCTTGTTCCTTGCCTATTTCCACCTTAACTTTTAAAACGATAAATTTCAGTTTTGAAAAATTTAACAAAATTTTAAAACGTCGAAACGAAAAATAGGGTTTAGGAACTCCCAGACTAATCTGTTGGATTCAGTGTCTTTTTTCCTACGTTCGTCATTGTTTGTACGCCGCGAATTTAGAGCGACAGCGACGAAAACGTCTCGAAGAGTAAAATCAATCTCTACAATTTCGCAGTCTTACATGGAAATTTTTCCCGTTTGTACGAACACACGCATAAGTTGCCACGTAGATGGATTGCATCGAATCTATCGCTGGGAAACATTCACTGCCGCTACGAATACCCCGCGTTCATCCGGGGTTCTTTCAGGCGAAAATGCGAAATACATTTTCTTTTCGCTGGAAATTTTGAAAAGTTAAAAAATTGAATTTACGATCAACGTTAAGTCCTCGTAGAAATACGTAACAAAGATACGATTTATAAAAGTTGCAAGCACTGCGGAAGTTAGATATCTTCTTCGCTGTCTTTGTAAACGAGAAGGATGACACGTTTTTCTACGGAAACGTGATGAAGTTTATCTTTATTATTGTTTCCAAGAAAACTTCACAATTTTCAATCTTTCCTACGTACACCACATTAACAAACGTAGACGCAAATAGATATAATTATTCCTACAGAACGATGTCGGTACGCAAACCTCGACTCAATCTTGAAACCTGATTTTCAGAAAAAGTGTGTCTTGGTCGAAAAGAGAATTCACTCTGCATTTTTCTCTGCATTCATTCGTATTTTCTAATTATCTTTTCTAGCTACGGTGGTAAAAAATTTTCATACGCAATTCAAATGGTTTCAAAGGGCGACTAAAATGGAGGAAAAATTTGATTCGTGGAAGAAAAGTGACAGGAAGTTTCACATTTGAGATAAAATTTTAGAGTCGTATTATTATGCATATTTATATTATGTAGAAAAAAAAAATACAGCTACCTACATTCATGCAAAAACACACAGGTGACCTTGAAAAAGAGAACAGAAAAAATGGCATTTATAAAAGAAATTTTCCTCTCGTTTCGTTCACTCTTTGAAATTATTCAAATTACGTACAAAAGGTTTCTCGTATCACCGTAGCTAGGGAAGATAATTAGGTGGTCCGTTTTACGTCGCGCAAGTATACAGGGTGTCCCAGTTTTTTCCGATCAAACTTTGTCACCGTGTTCTAAAGAAATGTTGCATAAGCATATGTCGTTCGAAGTTTTATTAAAGAGTTACAACAAAAATATGAAATACAAAGGGAAATGCCACTAGCAAAAGTTAAACACAGCTCGCATAAACAAACTGTAGATGTATGTATCGCCGATCTATTCTTATTTTCTGTCATAATTTTTTAATAAACCTTCACTCTCTTTCGCAATTACGCCCATAGAACATTCAGCCAACGTTCGACTAGGAAAACTTGGGACACCCCGTACAGTATCGCAATATTCACATTTCATTCGTTCAACTTACACAAATGCCCTGCAATATTACTGAGATCCATTTTTCTTTTCTATTTTCACAAACTTACGTAGTCGGAAGATATTGACACACTGGATATTAATTATGCGTCGTAAGCTGGGATTCGTTATCAGCAAGACACGTATGTGCATATATAAGACACTTGTATAAGCATTGATGCAATATAGAAGGGTGCTTCGTCCATGAGCTTGACGCTGATAAGAAGAACCTTGGTAAGATAAAACTGATTTTTATATCATTCGTCAAGTAGAATAATTATTTGCACTTGAAATGTTTATCTGTATATATATATATGTATTCGCCACAAAACGCATTTCAATATCCCGTGAAAAGGAAAGAAATTTTCATACAGAGTTGAAAAATGTGTCAATTAGATAAAAAAGATATCGTTTTTCTAATAATGCTAAATTCAGTAAACTTTTAACGCTAGAAGGAGCGGCTGGTGGAAAGTGACCTATTAGCGTGCTTTCAAAAAAATGAATTTTTATGGCGGAAATATGGAAGTAATACAGAAAACCGAGTCAGAAAGATAAGAAATTGTTTAGAAGTGATAATAATCACCGGTATGGAACGTTCGCTGTTTTTATGGAAAGTTGCTAATGGGCTACATTTCACTCGGTCGATATTTCCAGTGTTGAAAAGAAACAAAGTAATTATGACAAATTTCTGTTGTAAAGTGGTTAGTTTAAATGTGTAGTACAGTGTATCTGTTACAGTTCCTCCTCTGTGTCTGTAGGTACCTACATGCGAGTAAACCTTCGACGATTTATTATGATTTATAAACGGAAACGTACACTCTCGTCCATAAGTCTCCGTACATTTCGCATATTTAGATTCAGAATGAAATTACAAAATGGAACTAACACTTGCTGACACATTCGTGTTACAATGGAAGCTAAATTGTCGCGCGTTTGGACGATCTCAGTGGAGAAGCAATCGTAATAAACGTTACATTCGAAAAGTGACAAATGTCACTTTTCATGAATTATGGCCGGGAGTGTCTGTACTCATTGAGACTTGTATAGGTTACTTACAACTTGTTGTAGCAGCGAGTTCACATTCATTAGTTAGATGGATATAAGGCAACAGGCATGAAAGTTTGCTCTTCGGAGATAAAATTACAAAATTTGCATATTGTCTCGTTAGAGTTGTATTTTGTGATTTTCTACGATAACAAAAACCCTGAAATTCATCTTTTTCTCGATAAGTAGCTCGGTACGATTACAATATAACCGTGTGTGATCTATATTGTGCAACTATTTGTTGCACTGTGATACGATATCGAAAATACCGGATAACAAGTTCTAATTGGTGTCTTCTATTTAAGACGTGCATAACAATCACCAAGTGAATGTGAGAGACGATCTACGAGTACATGTGAGAAGGTAAGAAGGAAATATTATTAATAACGACTAGTGTTTGCAAGTGTTTTAAATATGTAATTAAAGGAGCATCACTTTTTCCATTGTAGGAAGCAGTAGAAAAATATTTAACGCTTAATTTTTATGTATGCTTCCATTTTATATTCCATATAACGTTATTGTAGTGTTATGTTACTACTAACATAAAATTATAAATTTGATTATTTTCTGCATTTAATTATGTATAAATAACTTCCCCTTTCTATAATTGAGCTTTAACTCCTTTCATTTCTACGAATATAATTTATAAATAAACAGGGACAAGGTTGCAATAAAATATGCATTAAAAAATAAGAAGAAGGGAAATAATTCAAAAATACTTGCTGTGAATAATAACATTTGAGGACGTAAATTAGAAATGATTTTTCCAAGTCTGTTACATTTTTACAGAGATTCCATTTTGCTAATTTTGTTTTGCCTATTTCATTTTTCAATTTCTGTTTCCTATCTTGTATTCCTAATTTTATTTTCTTTATCTTTGTTTTGTTTATTCTGTTTTTACGAAACCTTTCACTTCCTCGATTACTTTCTGGCCATATATCCGGACACTACTGCATTACTCGTTTACCTTAAATTAATACAAAAGTTGATACAAATATAGTCATGTTTGGTATCATTTCGATCGTACGAATCTCAATAATCCTACTAAGCCCATCTCGTAACAATATAATGAAAAATACAAAAAAATGATATTTTTCTTATTCCCGTAATTGATTACCGCTCGAATCGGATCATAGATAACGCCTGCCGATCTAAAGTCAGTCGTACAAGCGGACAAATTCTACTATAGCTAATCACAGCACGTACTGTTATAGTCGTGCAATTTCGCGTAACAACAAAAATAGCATTTTTTCAACACTATCGTCATTCGGTTAAAAAATCGAGTGTAGTTCCAAAAGGCCCCGATCGCCGATCGACACGAAATTTAGCGCGAAGAGGGAGAAGGGTAGGTGGACCCGAAATATAAAATAACAGCTACAGCCAATCGTTAGATTCCGAGATATCAACAGACAACCTTCGGTACTACACATTGAAACTGCGTACACAGACGTGACTAACACATCGAACGCTGCCTCTGTACTAATAAAACCGTTTTCACTGTGCCGTCGTTCCCATCCAATGTCGAGTATGTGCCCTATATCTACAGAGTGACGAGTTTCGTCCAAATAAGGCTCATTGACCGAATCAGCCACTGAAAGCGAGGATTTGAATCTAACCTAACGTAATCGCGCGTGTAACCGTCTCGTCGATCAGTCGAGCTGGAGCACAGCGTCTAATACCATCGAATATCTTTAGGCGGTCGGTGATACATATTAGAACAGTCGTCGTTTCGCCAGAATTTTACATGGAACCGGTGTCTGGGTATCTATAGGGTTACAGATACAACCGAGGTCGTTACCGCTATTGTGTCATCGGCTGCTGGACACTTGACGGGAACGGTTGAATCAGTGAAATCTGTACATGCAGCGTTCGATGTGTTAAGCACGTCTGTATAGATACGCCAGTTTCGATATACAGTACCGAAGGTTTTTTTCACCTCTCTCTCTCTTCACGCTAAATCTCGCGTCGATCGGCAATCGGGTCCTTTCGGAATCTCACCGTTTTCACGTAGGTATTCATAGATAATTGGCACCGAATAGGCGTAGAAATTGATACGTTGACGTATGCGTGCACGCGCGCGCGTGTGTGTGTGTTAGTAAAAACGTGATGACAGTATATAAACGAACGTGTTGAAGTACGCACAAGGTATCAGTTGGAAAGTTTTTCGTTAGTCATTTACTACGAATTTAACAGCTCGGTATGTATAACACGCCGCGATTTCTTTGTTTGTTTCGCGTTTTCGATAAAGCGAAGTAACGTGGGAAGTGTTGCGACCGTTTCGAGATTCGTAACGTGACTGAAGAAAGTAAGAACGAACGAGTGGTTAAAATTGCATTGTACGAGCAAAGGGAATCGGTGTGATTAGGCAAGTCGACGATAAATCAATCGCGTTTTACATACATATGTGCGTACTTTTGTCGGTACAGACCAGTGATGGCGGACCTTTCGAGCTCGGTGTGTCAAAATTTAAAGAAAACCTAGGTTAACTCGTGTGCCGTGTCATATTTAGAAATATCCATAACTGTTGCGAGCGTTACGACCTTGTACGATCATGGACTCTCGCTATGGTTCAGCTCCGAATTAACGATTCTGTGATCTGCTCGGTTTCGGCTGCGAGGTGACTTCCGTCGATGCGTGTCACCCAAAATGTCTTGGCGTGTCACCTTTGACACGCGTGTCATAGGCTCGCCATCGCTGGTATAGACTGTGAAATTCGTGACAGAAAAGTAAGAAGTCGATTCGATCGAAATCCGTAAAAAGCTGTTTTACGCGAAACTGCGACACTGTGTAATCGCGATCACGAGTTATAGTCGTAGTTTTTAATACCTACCGCTTCACGGTCATCCTCTTTTTGCAATTACGGTAACGCACACTGCGTAGGTATGTGTGTATACGTGAGGTTGCAATTTGCATAATTTGTCCACACGTTGCATACCTACAGGGTGTCACGGCTAAAGGAGACCACCTAAATATCTCCTTTGTTTTTCACGACGCGAGAAATGTTTACGGCACAATTTGAATTGTCTCGAAAGAGGAATTTTCAGTTTCTTCGAGATTATCGGTACTTTTTATCCGGGAAGCTTTTTTTTTTTTGCATCTTGCAGCGAATGAAAAAATAAATTCGAGTAGGTACGCTTGAATCGTAACCTTCAGGTTGACCTTGAACACCAGAAATGTGACGAAATTGTCAGACGAATTGTAAATGCTCAAAGTGATCTCCGTCGACAGCTCGAACAAACAATCGCGGATTCTTCGATGAGCCGACGAAAAAATTTGTCTTCCATGGTATTCCTCTTTTGCGACGATTCAAATTGTGCTATAAACATTTTTCATGTTGTCAAAAAAAAAAAGAGATACTTTTATGGCGTCTTTTAGCCGAGACACCCTGTGTAAAATAGGATGCGCGTGAATTAATAAACGGGCAGTTTACCGGTCGAATATTTGAACGAACGAAATTGCGTCAAATAGGATCTTATGCAACGTTAATTATTACAAATGCATTTTTATTCTTGCTTCTTCCTCTTCACTTATTCCTAATTTACTCTGACAAATGCTTATTCTTCGTTTAATCCTCGTGTAGGCAACTATTCAGGTGTATTTAGGTCGGCTATCTACCCATTTCTATATTTTCCTTCAACAATTTTCTACGTTCTTGTGAAAGTATCGCAAAATCGCTCCGCATCCCCATTTCTTCGACATTTTTACGTCGATAGGCACGTTTTAGAAATGTAAATTTACGATTTTAAATATTAACGCTTGAAACAATCGCGAACATTGGTTGCTCACACAAGGATCGAATCGTACCTCTTGTAAAAATCTAGGAATAATCAAAGAACCCCCAGCACTCAACGTCAATGTACAATTTCTTTCAGAATGGAAATTAATCATTTGGGGATCAACGAGCACGTATTCGAAAAGGCACTTCGAAGGAAATTCTCCGTGGAAAATGTGAAAATCTTGGAGAACACGTGTTGTTGTATATCGGACGTAGGGACAAACTTTCTCAGCGATCTTTACGAAGCCTCTATCAGATACGCGATCATTTCTAACAACGGGGAAACGAAATACGAAGGTTCGGTCAGTGCTATTATTAAGACGGAACCGTCCAATGAAATATCACGCGACATCGTTCGCAAACAGGATTTGTTTGCGATCGAATTGAAATTTTTGCGCGATGTTCTACCGAGGATAAGGGAAACCGTCGACTGTCAGTTAGGGCCGTCTTTGTGGTACGGTTCTACCAATCCTCATGTTCTTGTTATGGAAAATTTGAAGGAGAGAGGATTCATCATGAAAGATCGTCAAAAGGGTTTATCATTTGAACATTGTTGTTTGGCCATTGAAAGAATTGCAAAATTACACGCTGGATCCGTTGCGGTTAACGAAAAGGTACGTGTTAAGGATTGTACTATGTGATACGTAGTTATACAGGGTGGGCCACGTAACTGCTTGAAACAGGCCACCTAATTATCTTCTCTATTTAGCTGTGCTGGCACGAGAACATCTTTATGCGTAACTTAAATGATTTCAAAGGGTGAATAAGATGGAGGAGACATTCTTTTTCATGGAAGAAATGGTAAAAAAGCGGAAGGAAGTTTCGCATACGATTTAATATTTAGCGAGTCCCACTAATATTCGGACACACTTTAGAACAGTAGCACTTTTTTAAAATTTGACCTAACGACTTGAGTGTTTTGTTTTTAGAAGTTAGAAGGATTAGTATACTAGGTGACGTGTGCAAAAAATTTTGAAAGAATTGCAATTTGTGGGAATCGCGTAGAAAATTGTGAAGGTAGCATTTAACAACTTTTTTATGTTGAAATTTCAAGTGTATATTAAATATTTGTATACTATCTAGTCTTATCCATTTGTGTATTTACTTTTTATACGTACATCATAAATAATAGACGATTTCGGTGGCGGTTCGTTCATCAGGATTGCCAGCCACTCCGATTGGACGATCCTTTAACCCCCTGCCGCATGATAACGCGTTAGACTCGTGCCACAGATTTTGGTCAAGATCTGGGAAACGCAGTCCTATCAGTAAGAATAATCAATTTTAATTCCAATTTTCCATTTCATTTATCAAACTGAAGATTGCAAAGTTTCATTAATTTACAATACATTAGCTTTTCTTACTTAATACTGTACTAAAACGGTAAATAGCTGACGCTTAGACGCACAGTCAGGAAAAGTAATCATACGTCAAGGGGTTAATCGAGTTTCGCGTTAGAACTTGAAATTTCACTTTTCGAATAGGTGTAATGTTAATTCAAATGAATTTCTTACAGAATCCAGAGATAATGGAACATTTCAAGAATGGCGGCATCGTGTCAACCAAATGTCCAGTCACTTTCTCAAAACTGATGGAAGTATCCCTCGTGCGAATAGGCAACCAGATAAAACAATGGTCAGACGAACGGTGCGTGAGAGCAGCGGACAAAATAATCAAATTGTCGGAAACTATTTTACCTCGATGTATGGATGTGTACAAGTACGACTTCGACGAGTTCTGTGTACTAAACCACGGGGATAGTTGGATCAACAATATGATGTTTGTAGAAAATGAGAAAGGCCAACCTATTGATTTCCTATTGGTAATTACGTTATTTTATACGTGTATAGTCGGTGGAAGCGATATGGCGAGGTCGTAAAATCAGTCTCAGGCGTCAAAGTAGGAATAGGAATCTAGACTTGTACAAACGAAGATAAAGATCAGTTCAACTTTTTCCTTCGACAAATCTAAAGTTTAAAAATGGCCATTTTTGGCATCGCCTGGAACTGAAAAGTTCATGCAGGACCTTTAAGAATGTCTTCCAAGGAACAAAAACTGTCTTTAGCACTTTCCCGAGAAACGATGGGAAAGTTGTTAAAAATGAATCCAGTGAAATTTTTCATTTCCAGGCGACGCCAGAAATGGCCATTTTTTAACATCCTCCTCTATAACTTTATCGATGATCTTGCATGTTCCTACATTTTAAGTGTGTCTCACATCAAAGTGGTAGGTAACTCAAACAATAATACCGCATATTTCAGGTCGATTATCAAATGGCAGTTTACACATCTCCAGCTATCGACTTGTTGTACTTTCTAAATATTTGCCCCGAGTACGATATAAAGTACGATAAGGATGATTATTTCCTGAAGATTTATCTGGACACGTTAGAGGAGACTATGAAAAGTATTAGTTGCAAAAGGAAACCACCAACGATGCAACAATTAAAAGCAGCAATTCACAAAAGGAGGGTATACGCTATTCTATCTGGAATCATTCTATACTTGCGCATGATGGCGAATAAAGAGGACACCGAGGGTTTCCAGAAAGTTGAAGAATTAACGTACGAGACTATAATGGACGTTTTCAAGAATCCAGATGCGGTGAAACTCACGCATAAAATGATCCCAATCATGGACGAGAGAGGTTACTTCGATTGAAACGATTATTTCTGTATTGAAATAGCGATTAGTTTATTTAAAACGTGATTCGACGAACAGGAACGTAACGTACATTACATATACTTTATGATTTATTATACATATACGTACGTACACATGATTTATTACCTTGTTACACAACGTAGATATTCATATATGAATATATAGGTATGTTAAATATACGCATAAATGTTACGACATAATATTCAGATTAGCACCTAGATACTAAATATACGATTATGGAAATCTAATCTTGTCAAAAAAATTCTCATCGTTCTCTTGATCCTCGAATGATGTTTCTTGCATTTCTAATGTTAAAGAGCTTTCAAATTTAGATGTAACGATTTCTCCGAACTAATTCTCCGATTTAAACTATGTTTCATCGTTTGCGTAGGTATACTATTAGGTCGTCTTTAAGGCGGTCTTTTTGAAAAATCATAACTCCACTGAAATTAGACTTTTTTATTTAGCCCTTCGACAGTTTATCCCCAGTGAGACTCGGGCAGTGCGTTGAATAACGAACAGTTTAACTCGCGAGAGACTTTTAGGAAGAAAGTTAGAAAGGGGTGAGATATTATTATCAGAATTGTGACGTAGGGTTGTGTACACTGTGCTTTGAAAATAAGGACACACGACGTAATTGTTAGAAAGATACGTGTCAAATATGAATTTCATTGACTCTAATTCGTTATTACATTAGACTGTCAAAATTATAGAAATTTAGGAATATGTGACATTAGATTCTACGATTCTACAGTAAATACTGTATGTCTCTTTTGACGTAACACAGATTACTGGCGGCCTACGTAAATTATTTCACGAAGAAAATTGAAGTTTGAAACTCTGTGCATATTTCTTTACCTTCCCTTGGTCATCCCGAGGTTGATAAGAAATACCAAGTTCTTCACTGGTCTTTGTTTCCTTTCGAAACTTCGTTGCAATCCAGTGTTTCCCCTCTTCGTCTGTATTATCTATTAAATATCAAACTGTTCGCACCAGTAAATAACCACTTGCCTTCTAACAACGAGTCAGACTCGTGACACAGGCTCTATATAGCGTAATCGCGAATAAAACACTTACATTAACAGCAAAAATTAATTTTAATTCTAGCTTTCGTTTCCATACGCAAGACTGAGGATTTTCTTCCTTAATACTACTCACACTTAGGCTCACAGTCGGCAAAAAAATATCAAATATTAATTTTGATAATAAAAAAAAAGAAGTCAAATATTAATTTTCAAATGACACACAGCTTTCTGTGAAGCACGCAAAAATATCTAAAAAATATTTTCAGAGTCTTTCAACCTTCTATTACGAAGTCTCAGTAAGGTTTTTTTCATTCCAAAAATTCAAGGCGATTTGTGCTTACTTTGTCGTAAGCTACCGCTTTTGGGGCGGACATTTACTTACGTACAAACGAAAAATTGATATATTCTTGTGTCAAACGTTAACTTACATGGGTATTGATTTCGACGCTTCTTCTACTAAAGTGTGCAATTCTTCTAAATTTTTTGGTTTCCGTCTCGATAAGCAAAGTGACGATTGAGAGGACTCGAAATTACCCCTTTTTGTCGTCAAAGAAAATAAAAGGAACGATAACGAATATAGATTTATGTTCAACGAAGTGAAAAAATCCTCTTAAGCGGCGAAGGAAAAGTTGCTTCCATCGAGATAGTCGATGAACCACCGAAAAGATCCTTCGTGGGCGAACATACGGCCTTGGCGGTCAGCTGGTAGCAATTGATTTATTGTAGGGCAGTAAAGCACTAGGCTAAAAGGTCCCTGAAAGCATCGTCTCGGTAACCTACATCGTGAACAGAGAAATTGTTGTGGCAAGCCTCGATGGGGTGGCTTTGCCTCGAGGAGAATCTCTACTACCGGGCAAGGAGAAACGTGATGGAACAGAAGTCATCACCTCGAGAGAGAGCTTTATCTCTTTTCGTCGGTTCAAGGTATTTCGCCAAAGTTTCTCCCTCCTCTTTCAACCATTACCTATGTTTCTCTCTTTTAGCCTAGTTGGTCAACGAGACTTGTCTTCCTTTCTTGTTTGCACTGACCTGAAAACTGTATACAGCTAGCTTCGGTGTCACGCGGGGGGATTCGTAAATCATAGTAGAAAGGCGATTTAGAAAAATTCGGTGGCTGATTTTCGGTACTTCGCACGAGGTTCGTGAAAGTTTTCGGGGGAGAAGGAGAAGAAGAAGCATCGAGGGTGAAACTAAGGGATAATAGAAAAACTTAGACGTCCGTGAAGTATTCGGGTTACTCGGTCGTCAGTGGCAGAAAATTCCAGTAGCCGGCCGCGATTAGTTACAAATTGAACCGGAAAGAACGTTAAGGTAGAAATTCTATTTTCTCGCCACTTTCATATTTTCTATTATTCTCGGGCCTTGCTGTTACCACGAATCGACTATTTCACGTTGGAAATGTCGCGTAGGCACTTAACGCATCGTCGTGAGTAGGTTTATAAAAAGTTCTTTTTCTTCGTTAGAAAAATATTAAATTGTTGAAAATTCTCTTTTTGCTGATCTATGCAAAAGTCAGTTCTCGTATTGATTTATCTGAATTTTTTAACTCGTTTCTATTTGAATTAAATGCTGCATTTTAGTTAAATTTGCAGAATAGCGTAAGGGAAAATTTCTGTAATTATTTCTGGCGAATACAAATTTGTCATTGTTCATGAATTTAGCAATCAGTTCTGGCAAATAGAAATTTGCCATTTTTCATAAATTTAGTAATAATTTGTGGCAGCGAGGCGTTGTAACAGACAATTACAATTGTTATTAATAATTCTAACAACAAGACTGGAGAAAAACAGAAGCGACGAAAAAGGTCAGGATAAAAGGCACAGAAAGACGTTCTGAAATTTCTTAAGGGGGTTACTAATCCTTCGATTTTTCAGGCATTTCATTTTAACACGCGTCGGACAACATATTTGTCAATGTCGTTTACTTGAATAACGTCCGCCTTTTACTCGTCATGTGGAAGAAAGTCTTGCCAACCCTGGAAATACCTTTCGGGATTCGTGAGGTGCGATTGATAAATTTCGATCTTGAAAATTTGTGGGAAGCCCGAGTTGTGCAAGAAGATGAATGTATCTTTTTGTCGATACGCAGGGTTTTAACACTTTTAAAAAATTACAGGAAGAAGCGGCGAAAGTTCTTTCGACGGTCGAACACGTAAAGTTCATCTCTCGAAAGCTGTAGCTATCATTCACCTATGTCGTTTAATCCCCTTATTACTAAATGATCGCGTGATTTTTTCGTTCCTGTATTCTTACAGGCAGTGTCAACACATTGTACGCGGAATGCCCGAAAAGTTCCAGGATAAATTCTTTCTTCGAATTTAATTATTACAGTTAAATTGTGAAAGTACACCAGCATATGGAGAATTGGAATCTTGAAAATTATATAGTATATCGTGTTGCAATTTTTAACCCTTTCACTGCGACGAATTTTAACACGTAACGCGTGTGGCAGACTGTAAATTTTTAACCACGGGTATAAAATTCGTTCTTTTTGCAGTATCGTTTTAAAATTCGGTTTATTAAATTAAGATGGATCGAATTAAATATTAAATTAAGAAGTGTGCCACAAGGCTGCAACATACAGCGCAAACAAATTTTCAAAACGCCTATAGGCGCTAATAAATCTTTATTGCCCTTATTTTGTCATATTAACACTTTACCGACCGGTAGCCTATTAATCGGCGTTTTGCCGCTAACGCTTACCGACCGGTAACCTATTAATCGCTTTTTTGCCGCCGACGCTTATCGACCGATAGCCTATTAATCGGTCAAAGTTTGATTTAACATTTCTATAGGTATAAGAAACAGCGCATATATTCCTGCGCGATAGCCTAGAGTCTGAACAGAGTCGGTGTCAGTGATGTATCTGCGGCTAAGTGAGAGGTCGGAAGTGCGTAGGATGTTCAACCGCTACCGGTCGGTAAAGTGTTAAGAAACTAAAATTAGGTGGGGTCATTCCTGTGGGCAAATAACACGTGGTCGAAGATTTTTAACACGTATGTATTTGATAAGGACAATTGCACAACGAAGTTAACGATACATTAAAGGGAATATTGATCAGCTGAACAATGCTCTCTCATTATATCTCAGTTACTCTCACTCTCTTATTGTTTCCATCAACCACGCTGCTCTACTGTTTACTCTCCCATTCGTACCAACACACTGCCCGCTTCGCCAATCTCAAGCCGTTTCGAGCATCAGTCATAGATCATATCGACTCCCAGAATGTCCACATATATTCAAAACAAACACACGACTTTCACGCCATCATTCACAACACATTCGTAAAACCACATCCACAATTCTCACTTATTCATATGCAGGTAATAGGATTTATAATATAGGAGAATGTATTGGCATACTTCTTTTCTAATAAATGTATTAAATATGAATTATTTGATGCTGTTAGAAATTTTACGTATCTTATTTATAATAAGAAACGTTGTTATTATTTTTGTTTAAATATATAGAACCTATGTTAAACAACGAAGTTTCAATAATAGCGAGTGAAGAAAATTCTGTCTCTCAAATATAACGTTTCTTAAAATTTTTAAAATTGATTGTCAATCACTATTTTAAATGCATACTTATGATTTGGTTCTTTTCATCTGATTAACACGCCTTCTAAATTATACCTACTTATATCGACTGTACCGAATTTATATCGATATTTAAATTTTTCACCCGCTAGAAAATGCAATCCGGAGAATATGGCGAGTGTGATCAAATTTTTCAGCAGAATTCGCGCAATTTTCTTTGCACTTGTCACTTTGTTCCAAAATCACTTTGTCCAGCTTTAAGAGTTCTGGAAGTTTCACTCCTATTCATTCTCCTAATTTTTCCAACTGAGCACAGTTACACGTCTGAACTTCTCGTTTAATTTCTCGAAAGTACGTAATTCGAAGTACAAAACACACGGTGGAGAGTGTAAACGGAACGCGGCGGCCCTAATACACACCTACATACACATTTCACGGGACTCTTTGAATAAGATTAATCCGAGCTATATGAAAGACACCCGATAAATATGAATCGTATTACACGAATGGTGTTAAAAGAGAGAAAAAACCACTTATCAATATTATCCCCGGCTTTCGAGGTTCATACGGGCGTATTTACGCTGGCCGGGACATGCAATTTTGGCATGCGACGTGTAAATACAGA